GATTTCAAAAATTCAACTGTTGCATTTAATGATACAAACTCTAGAGCAACCAGAAATAATAATATGCTAGATCCTATCAAAGATGTGTTTGAAATCTGGAATTCATATCTGTACCACAGACTTTAAGGTAACAGCTTACCAGCATGAGTCCCTCTCTGAAGATATTTCCCATTTAAAGTATGTATTCCTTCAAAAACAAGGAATAGATGCAATAAATATTTAGTTTTCTATGTTTAAATTCTCAAGATGTTCACTCTTCCTTGATTTGTATGCCTATAAATTATGAAATGATTAAATACTTTTAATCATTTTAAGTATACTTATTTAAAAAAATTTAAAGGTCTAGGTGTTAGGTAGAAATATCTTTTCAGAGTCTTTCCTCATATGTATCAAGTTATCATTAGTTGTATAATTACTTATGCTATGTCTTATTTCCTGACCATTAGCTGGCTGAGGGGATTCAACAAGTACTAAATAACCACATTAAGTCTCAAAATTTTTGTTGTATAAAGATAAATGTTAGAAATTGGAGTATGTTGTTGTGGAAGTATGCCTACTTCGGAGGAGAATTTTTTTGAGAAGTATAAAGAAAAGCTGAATTTTACTTAGTCTTCTGTAATACAGCCAAATGAAACACAATAGATTAATTCATTAAATAATAGTTACTATACTGCAATTACATCTGACCTCTTCTCAGCTGGATCAAACAAAAAATGCAGTTAAGTGCCTCTAAAGTTCAAGAAAAGGATCTTAATAAAATGAGAGAAATAACTTACTCCTTTAAGCTCTTTCTTGCTACAGACTTAAAACCCATTGAATTAGAATTCAGGATGCTAAAGAATATCTGGTTACAGTCAGAGAAGGTTTTGGTAGATGAGTACCTTCAATCTAAAAGAAAATAAATGACACAGATCATGAAATAAATTACCTTGACATAAATTCTTGGCTAAAAAAATTTCAGACAGCTCCCAAAACTGTAATGGAAGAATAACTTCTAATGGATAAACTAACTTCTATTAAACTTGAATCATAATAGCTACAGAGATGAAAGATGAAGAAAGTGCTAAAATTACTAACCAAAAGCACACTAGTCCTCGTCTTTGTACTGAACATTTGATTGTTTTTTATAATCTAAGCGAATATAAAGAGATCTGTGAGCCATGTGATTTCTTCCTTATCAAAATGTGTCTCTTCATCAACTTGGATGACTCTGTCCAGAAACCTATGCAAGTCATTAAGCACAGAAACAAGTTTATGAAGACGGAATGCAAAACTGAAAAGCAAAATCATGTTGCTTCTTTTAAGGAGTCTACTAAAATGAGTGAAACTATTAGATATAAGTACGACTCAGGAAAACTGTACTTTGCCACATAATATTGAAGAGGAAAATGGAATTATGAAGAATGCTGATACAGGTAAATCTAAAGGAATTTGACCTTGATCATCTGTGCTATTGATTCTACACAAAATAAAACAAAAAAGCAAAGCACCATAAATTGAGTCTCCATGTTGCAAATAATGTCTGTGTTGACCAGTTTTATTAGTTTCTTTCACAAGAAAATGACATGTATACAATTTTAATCACCAGGAAAAACTGAGGGTTATCTCCATCCTCTTTCTGTCACCATTGCTCCTTCTGTCCTAGGGCTATTCAAAACTCATTCTGTAACATTGACAACCTAAATCTATACAATCCAGGAATCTCATGGTAACCTTTCTAGATCATTAAAGGGCAGACAAGAAAGTTTTTCTGCAGAGGGGAGATCTTGAATGCCTATAATATGTCTAAAATTAAAAAAAAATAAGTAAACACATGTATATTTCTGCTGTCCAAAGGGCCAGAGCATATATTCACTTTCTAGATTTGAATATAATTTTTTTCCTCTCCAATTTAATATAGACAATGCAGATTTCTTGTTATGACACTTGCATGTGTAAAAGTATTGGTGAATCTAGATCAATCTCTGTAACCCACATAAACATGACTAAAAACAGCAGGCAAGTGACCATGGAATTACAGTGAATGAGGAGTGAAGGAAAAAATAATACCATGATGGGCAACTAAGGAAGAAATGCATTTTATTCTTTGCTAGTATTTTTTAAACATATAATCAATAAACCTTATAATAATCTTAAAAAAATTAAAAAATAAAGTAGTTGGTGCAGGAGAATTTTAACTAGATAAAACAAAATGATCTGATTTTTATGGTTTACATGGCTTTCTAAGATGGTTGTCTATAATTGAAGTGGATATTAACACTAACCGTAAGGCATTGGCATATTCACTGTTCACTACACAGAATCAAAATGAGAAATTTTATTTTCTGTTATATAGATAAAATGTTAGCCAAAACTTTTAGGGATAACTTGGAGTTATTTTATTTGATTGTATAAAAAGACAAAATCTAGGACTTAATGTCATGACATGGACACATTTCATCAATAAGGCTTTTTAAATTCTAACTACAATTTGGGCTACTTTTGAGGGAGTGACAATATTCTACACAGGAATTACTGAATTCCAGAGGGAAAATTCAAATTATAGTTTTATAAACTCATTACCAATAATTAATAATGAACTTCATCTAAACAATAACAGGTGTTCCACTAATCCCAAACAGAAACAGATGGAAGCACAAATGTTCTATAAATAGTAGATACATGCAGAGCAATAAACTTGGCAGAAATTGTTTTATTCTCTGATTGTCAGTCAGAGTCAATGTCTTGTCACTAGTATTTTTTCTAAGTATGCCCAGATTAAATCTATGTTTCTAATTCCTTATTTTTAAAACTACATATCATGTCCATCATTCCATTTTTCATTACGTTTATGTCTTGCCTAACTGACAAGTAGAGTGTTGCTTAACTTTCCTGTGGTAGAATTAGGAAGCATGTTATAGTTTCTTCTACCTTGCTCCCCTCTTCCTTCTTCTCTTGTAGCACCTGGACAAGAAATACTGGTCTAAATATTATTTCAGTGCCTAAAATCTCAAAATAATTAGTGTAGATAGATGAAATATATCTGCAGATTAAATTAAGGAAATTAGTATTATATGAAAATAAGAGAGCTAATCTTATAGAACTCAAACTCACTGACTTTCACAATGCATTGTTCTTTGTGACTTGGGATTGTCTTAGAAAATATATTTCATGATCAACTAGTAGCTACTATAAATAATTTCAGTGATATTAAGCACATATTTTCTTCAAATACTGAAATTTAAAACTTAATGGAAAATAAAGAAAACAATGCATATTAGACACATTAATTCACAATATAGTTTCATCTTGTGTATAAATATATAGTTGAACTTACAAAAGCAATATATGCATATAGCATGGCATTCTTCTTTCTGTCTTTTCTTTCTTTCTTTCTTTTCTTTCTTTCTTCCTTTTTTCCTTCCTTCCTTTTTTTCTTTTTTTTGAGACGGGTCTCACTGTGTAGTCCAAGCTGACCTCAAACTCTCAATCCTTCTGCTTCAGCCTCCCAAGTGCTGGGATTAGAAATGTGTGCTACCACATGCAGCTAGAATATGAGTTTCTCTAGCCACCACAGCTGAACAAAATGGGCGCAAATCTCTTATCTAAACTTGAATTTATGGTGTATATAGAGAGAGCAGGACTTGACAATGTTGAGACGTTTCCTTCCTGTGGAGTACTCACTCAGACTGACTGTAGCGAAACGAATGAACGAATGAAAAATTTATGATAACATTTTGCTGTGTATTCACTAGACATTTTGTCAACAGTACATTTAAATGTAAGAACAGTGAAAGGAAGGTAGAGTGTAGTGATTTGCTCAAAGTCAATGCTGGAAAGGGATGGCATCAAGAATTATATTGGTTTATTTGTGTCCAGAGTCTTCTCTTTCCACTACTTATACCTCACTACCTCCCTCAATGCTTCCATCTGTTTTTGGTCTGTTTCTATACACAAAGGTTGATGGCAATTAGTTTCAGCAGGTAAGATATCATAATTTTTAGGTTTACTTAATTCATTTCAGTTTCTAACCCATTAAAAATATAGAAAAGAAAGAGGAAAAGGAAGAGAATGACGAGTAAACTATCTGACAGAATAAATTACTGGAATTAACTGAGTTTTCCAGAGATCTCAGATTTTCATGATCTTCTGAATTCCCAAGATATATATGTATTCTATATTTATTCAGATACAATGTGCCTATTTGCCAATACACTCAAAAATTGTAATTATACATTTTAGAAAGATTTCACAAAAAAGAGTCAAGGAAAAAATATTTTTCTTGAAACAGTCAGCTTCAAGTATTCTAATGTAAATGAGTCTTTCCTTAATGGTACCATCTTAGAAGGGTTTCTCCAAACATGAATATAAATTGTCAGTTTTTAACTGTGCAAAAGGCATAATGCAGAAATCAAGTTATATATTTTAAGCTAAAGAAGTTAGTAAGTACATACACTCTGAACAACAATTAAAAATTGTAAAGAGATTATAGTTATACTACTTTAAACTGAAAATCCTTCTTCATTGTGTTATTAACTCCAAGGTTAACTATCTGTCAATAGTTCTCTGGAGTGGCCAAAGATCATATGTAAATGAGAGAAAGTCTTGGAAAGAAAAGACAAAATATTTGAAATGTGACAAATTATAATATGAATTTTGTTCACTAGTAAGAAAAGAATGAGATTTCATTGTCATAAATCCTTTCTTCTAAGTTTACCAGGAATAAAATAATTCATTCCTTCATACCAAGATGTTATTAAAGATATTAGCATTTTTATATATGAAGATATTAGCATATTTTTAGCTTTCAGTTGGTTTCATTTGCAACAGGCCATGCAGTGTCTGAAAGTAAAATTGAAGGCTTTAATGCCAGTTATTATTTCTGCTTTTTATTGGCTTTAATCTAGATCTACACATGCATTATACAATTTTTTAAATGAAAAAAGTTTAGTACATAAAGCCTACAGTCTCAGAAATAAAAGCTATTAAAAACAGACAGTCACAAGAATTGTTTGGAATACCTGGTTTTAAATCCCCATGGACAAACATGTCAATCATATATCGACAGAATGCATACTGATCTGACAGAACAGAAAGAAAAAGAGCAATGAGAAAATGTCATTGATACTTTTTTATACGGAGAAATGGTTTAATAAAACAAAATAACACAATTCTATTTTAGTTATTACATATTTTCTATAAAGAAATAATTTACACTCATGAAAATATAGGAGGAAAACTCATAATAAACATAGTGTTCCATTTATTTCAAATAAAAGTAAACATATATCAAAACAGACTAGTTCAGGGTAACATTATAATGGTTGTTTTTAAAAACCAGAACACAGAAATGACCCAAACAATGTATGCACATGTGAATAAATGAACTAACTAACTAAATAAATAAATAACAGAACACTTCTCATTAAATTTGTTATGAGAGTCATATTGAAGCAAATATTCTCATTTGTCCTTTTTGGACTCATAGTGAAAAACAAGTTGGAAATCATTTCCAACTTGGAGGATTTACCAAATATTTACTCCCAGATCCTTAGCTAGTTGTCTAAGTGAAGTTATAGAGTGTTCTCTCAAAGTGCCTGCAAGATTTTACAACCTGTTACAGTCCCCTGCATGGAAATGCCCCCAAATTAGAAGAGCAAATCAGAGGACAGATTGTGAATACCAGCTGATATCAGTGCTTACCTGACAGTAATCTGTATAAGATCATTTTATGATGTTGACTAGTCTATAGCTTATAGAAACAGGAAAAGGGAACAAACATAGTAATGCAGTGAAGTTTTCATGAATACACAGCCAAAAATAATTTCAGGAGTTGGAGTTTTCTTTCTTTTCTCTCAAAATTAAAGAAATTGCATTGACTTTATATCCATACATAACTCTAGATTCTCCTGAGGCCAATCCAACCTGAATCTCCATTGACAATTCTTAAAAGATATCCCATAGTTTCTTTCAAGTATGTATACTATGAAATAAATCTTACATTACCTTATAATGTAAGATGTGCATTTTATTAATCCACCAAACCCAAAGGCAGAATAGGGACCAAGAAAATTTATTGATTTAATACAACAGGATACATTATTAAAGGTTCCAAATTATATATATCAAACAAAAGTAAAAAAAGTTGTTACTATATAAACATGTATTTAAAAATATTTGTAAAACTCATTCTTTATAGTGTGTTAACAACATTTTGAATCAACATAAGTATGAAATGGCCAGGTCTTTGAAAAAATGTTATTATTTCAGTAGACCTAAAAATGTAATCACTTTCATTAATGTCTAAATATGGGAAGACAAAACTCATAAAGTTTCTAAAATTTACTTGTATCTTGATTGTTGAAATTAGAGCACATGAAAGAAATGCTACTTGTCCAATCAGTCCATATACCTTTTGCACTTTATTGCACTAGCACCAAAAGCTATAGTTTCTAATCCTAGGACCTGGGAGCCCCATGGTATTAGAGAAACTGAAGATGAAAGTGGATGGTATTTCCTCTTTCCTGGATATAAAAATGCTTTGTAACATAGTTGATAAAGTAAGATGAAAGAGCACATATCCTTTAAATGGGAAATTTGAAGTTGAACCAGTGTAAACTTCTCAATCATTCTCCTTTGTTTCAGTATCATAAATGCTAGGGCCAGGGCTAGGATTAAGGGTTAAGGGTTAGTGGTTAGGGTTAGGTTTTCCTTCCTCTAATCCAGGAATATTTCTCAGCTGGCAATTTAAGCTTCAAAAACATAGGGACTACGTCAAAGTACAGATTTCTGGGATCCATTATCCCCCAAATTATAATATCATGGAACTTGGGCTAGGAATGTCATTTTTTAACAAATTCTCCAGATTTGTCTAATTAGAGTATATATGCAGAATCACTGATCTAAAACCCTTCAATTTTTTCCCCACAATGGTTACTAACAGTTCTATAGTTTCTTGGGATAGCAAAAGAGACTTTTTGTTTTTCATGTCTGAAGTTTACACTATTCATGAAGGGTTTGTACAACCCCCCAAACTGGAATATTTTCTGCCCTAACATAACTGATTGAACTAAAATCAAACTTCAGTTTCTCCTTCAACTGAATATTGATGGTGAAATGAAAATTTATAATTAGGTATGAATTATTACCGAAGTACTGTGCTTGTACTCATTATGCCAATAATTTCTGGTTTCAAATGCTCATTCACTTAGTTAATGCATCAACAGTCCCATGAGCTTATAATTTGAAGAAGGAACTCTCTGATGAATTCAAAGAAATTTTTTTCATCTACAAAAGTACTTAATTTTCAATACTTAAATGGTGTTAGCTATATGTGGATAATACTGTGATCTTGCATTCCAATGGTACCAACACAAAAATGACAGCAATATATTTTAAATATCTTACGTAAAAATATTGAAAGATTTTAAATTAGAATGCCCATCTCCATCTGTCTTTCGATTGACCTTAGACAACTCTGAGAAGGTTTTTGTTGTCCAGTTTCCAATGTGCTTGCTTCACTTAAGGGCAGAGCAAACTAAGCCTTCCTGATTTTGGAAGATACATTTAATAGAAAGGTTTCTTTAAACCTACCTCAAATATTAGAACAGAAAACATTTTCTAAACAAAATATAAATTGTCCAGTCATTTTAACTTTTACAGCTTTAGGATAATAATTTACATAAGTAAAATTCATATTTGGTCACTACTTTGAAAATATTTTTCCCCATAAGCCTTCTTCTAGGTATAACCCAGCCTGCCCCCAACCCCCCTTTCTTGATCTGCAGGAAGCAGGGATGGAGTTCATTCAGCTGCTGCTCACTTGTTGGTGTTCCCTGTGGAGTACCAGCTAAGAGAAAAATGTATTCTGGGTGCAAGATGTCAACAAGAAGGAATTTTAAAAACTAATCTCTAATGGGGATGAGGTATATATGGTCTGGTGCTCCATGGCAGATTCTCGTTAGTTGTATATTCTCTGCCTGGCACAAATATTTAAATAACTGGTTGAAAAAAAGAGCGAGCAAAGTGTATAGCAGCTGGAAGATTGTTTTTTTCTACTCCACAGACTTGCCAGAGATCATCAGAAACTAAAGAGGAATGATTGATGATGTCAATCTTTCTCATCCCACCTTAAGTAGATTTAAGTTGGTCCATGAAAACTAGATTATGTGATGTACATGTGTGAACAAGTTTATGCTAAGCATGTACATACATATACATCTATTTTCAATGCTTTAAGTATAAATGCATCATTAATATATACAAAAGTATATATTAAAAGTAACCTCATCAATATCTTTATACATATACTATATAATCCAATATTTACCAATAAGTGTGTGTTCCATGTAAAAATCTGTTTCCAAGTGAATAAAAGACCTATGGGTCCTATTTGTTTAAAAGGAACTATTTAAAAATGTACTTGAGCTATTTAAAAATGTACTCAACTCTTTCAATCTGTAAGAAAACAAATATTCTAGTGTGTATAAGAGAGCTAATTCAATTTTACGAACTCATCAATCCAAGAATGTCAGAATCAAAGCCACTTCAAACATTTTCTGTTAATAAAAACACATATCTCAATCTCGTTTAGATAAAACTGTCATGTGATTAGTTTTATTAGAAAACTTTTAAATCTTTGTATTGAAAAAAGTCAGCATGTTTATGCATCTGACCAATCATATAGGTTAAGTTTTGATTGTTTCCCTAATTGTACATTTATTTAATTGGTGGTAGCTGTTCTCAACAGGGAAACTTGCTTTAGCAAATGCATTTGTTTAGCTGAAGAAATCATATCTGTACATTTGTTCCTAACTCTAAGTAACATTTAAATGTCCATCCTGAATAATAGTTCTTCACATAAAAATGAAAACACCAAATTAAAAGTAGAATCATAACGCAATGTATCTTTAATAAGTCTGATTCCTGGTAGGTTTAAAATAAAGCATTTGTGATCTGGAAAAAAATTTTATTTAAAAATGTCCCAACAATATGTCTTTTTCAGTAAAATATGGCCCCCAGACTCCTAAAGATATTAAAAATGAACACCCAAAATGTGCTAATGCTCCTCCTTACTAGATAAGAATGTTGACATTCCCATACATCATATACATTCACATACATTTTTATATACTATACTATTTATGGATGAAAAATTAAAGTATGCTAGGTATGTTTTAATTATTTTCCTGTAACTGTTTTCCTTTCTTAAAGACCAATCTAAAACGCAAACTATTTTAGGATCTTAATAAACACTGTAGTGAATCAGAAGATTAATTTTCTTGACTCCTATCATAGTAAAATATGCCATTCAAAATATTTTTATTTACTAGATGCTTTTTCTACCACAAATAGTCATAATATAATTTAAATAGAGATAACAAATAATATTTTTACTTTTTCAAGGTAACTTAATCTTCCTGAAAACTGAAGAAAAAATTTTTGTGCTTATTTTTTGTTTCTCTTTTTTGGTGGGACTGAGATTTGAATTCAGAACTTTGTGCTTGCAAAGCAGGAGTTCTACTGCTTGATCCACACTTCCAGTCCATTTTGCTCTGTTATTTTGGAGATGGGGTTCATGAACTATTTCACAAAGCTGGCCTCAAAATAAAGGCATCCCCATCTGAACCTTCCAGGTAGTTAGAATTACAGGCATGAGCCATGGGCACTGGCTAAGACTCCAAAGTCCTAATTAAAGCATATCTGAAAATATTGAAACTAGTAAAAATTACATAAAGTTTGTGATCCACTAAAATAAAAAAGAAAAAGCTCTACCTTTCTTTTTTCCTTCTTTCCTTTTTAAATATATAGATATTTAAATATGTGTCTTTGTTATATAAATCAAAGTTTACAAGTATTACTTATCTCTGAAAGTTTATAAATATTGTGACTTGGGGAAAAACATAAAAATACATAGAGTGGAGAAGATGTAATAGTGAATTGAAATTTTCACATCATGTGACTTATGAGGAAAAATTATTTTCATTTTCACTATCCAAATAGCCAACTCAATATAAAATGCTAAGATTTTTAAAAGACAAAGTCTCATGAACATCAATTTCTTGATATTAGTCCTCAGATAAAATTATAAAATTGTTACTGGAGTAAAACAAAATCTCATTTTTCAAAACTGTGTGACATATCATTTACAGTAATAATGCATATAGATTAGACCCCACATTCCAGGTGGGTGAGGGGGATGGACAGCAACCTGGAGTCAGGAATGGACTTAAGTGAGGGAAAAATTTCAACAAAAGTGAGACCAAAGACTACTAGTGGCCCTCTTAAAATGCTACCACTTCAGATGTATGTACCACCCTTCCATAAAGAATTTCGGGCTCCTCTTCTACCTCTATTTAAATGCTTTATTTCTAGGCAGTTGGGATATGTATCATAGTCCTGGAAGAGAGGCACCTTTCAGATGCAGAGCTTTCTGAAGTCATGAATTTAGTCAGTGCAAATAACAAGGAACACTGAGAGTTCTTTTTCCTATAACTTGTTCCGTATGAAGTTAAATGAATCTAATAATTTGAGCTACATTCTGCTGTGCTGTTTCAGAAACATCAACAATGTGTAAATAATTTATATGATATTTATTCTCTATGATTTGAAAATCATCTTCTTAACAAATTCCTTGGGAATTGTTGTCATTTATTTGAACTACTTTTCTCCAAAGAGCTTGATGTATACAATTATTTGTTATTTCTCATCTTAATAGAAATCCTGTACCTCAAGAATTCAACATTTATTCCCACAATTTAAATAACTCCAGATATTAACTCAAAACCATCTTTAAAAATATCCGAAAATTTACCTTTGGATATGTGAATGTGTTTTAGTATTTCTATAAGTAAATGCTAATTCCCAATTTATTGCATTTCCTTTCCGGTATGTTTACTTGTATATGTCTTTTTACCCTGATTTGATGTCTCATTTTGGTGTTTTCCAACGTTTAATTTCACTGTATCTGCTTCTTACCCAGTATTCTTTTAGAGCCTCTGGCCACCTCCTCCTCTGAATGTTTACCTTTCTGTTCATGCTTTGGCACAGCTGCAGTCTCTTTGTCTTCCTTTTCTTTGGCTTTTGGTGGTGCTTTCTGTACTTCTTTTATTTTTACAGCTGTTTGCTTCCCTCTCTCCTGTTTCCCACTTTTCACTTCCTTTTTAGTCTTTTCTTCAGTCTTCTCTTTAGTCTTAGGTTTCTTCTCTTCTGTATAGAGTTAAGAAATGTTGGGCTATTATTCTTTGTTTAACCATACAATACTCCTTTTGAAATTGGGGTCCTTAAGCAGAATTTAAGAAGAAAAATGAGGAATGAAAGAAAATCAGTAGAAAAACAATGTCCTGACATAAATGTTTGTGACTATTATTAGAGTCTTTGCAGTCTATTAAAATGCTATGTCAGAGCTCGCCTGCAAGATGAGGCCCTTTGTAATATTGAAAATACTGTTTTTGGATAGTCAGGAACTTAGTCTTCAACAAGGAAGCATTAGTAGTATTCAGAGATTGAATGTACAGGCATGTTCAGTGAAAGAAAGTGTACATACCAAACAGCCCACTGAGAGTCTCCTTTAAAAAGAATTGGATCATTTTATTTCATAACTGAAAAAACTTCAAAAGTCATTCAAGAAACAGAAATTACAACACAGTATTTTTTAAAGATAATGATTGTGTATTTGAATATAAAATCACCTGAATTGATATTGATTAATAAATATATAACAATGAAATCTACTGCAGGACAACTGTCCCCATTGATTTTAAGAGCCTGAAAGACTACAGAAATTGAAAAATTCACTACTGCTTTAGTCATAGATAACAAATCTAATGTTTCTTTCTGATGCATTTTTATTATTATATATTAATTGTACAAAGTAAAAGTTTCATTATGACACTTCCATACGTGCATAAAATGTACTTGATTCTGATCTTTTTTAGAGGTCTTAAATTTGTCATAGGAAATGGAAAGGGTTATAAATTAGAATATATAAAAGTGGGCTAGGATGTAGCTCAGTGGTATAGCGCTTTCCTAGCATGCATGAGGCCCTGGGCTCGATCTGAGCACCAAAAAAGAAAAGACAAAAAAAAAAAGAATATATAAAAGTACATATGTATATATGTGTGAATTAGGACACATACATTCTATACATACATATTATTAACTTGATTCTATATGTATTTAGGGAGAGGGAACTGGCTTTCAGATTATCAAGGTCTGTGGATCACTCAATTCTTTTTTTTAAGCAATTATAGTTCATATTTGTCATGCAAAATATTGCATTTTTTAATATGTGAGACCACACATAACTACCAGATACCACAGAAGGTCTACTATAATGTTGGGATCTCCCATATCATTTATCAATGTAGTGTGTAGCTTTTATTTTAACTCATGTTAAAGGATTTGATGAAAAATTATGATCCAGTTTCAAGATGATACAGACAAAGCCAAGATTATACTGGGAGTTGCAATAGAAAGAAGAATGGCAATGATCATGTCAGATGTCAGATTGCTTGCAAAATGGATTCCTGGTGATACTGCACTTGACTGGACCACCACCCCCAAATACACTGTGCCTCAGACACTTTCCAAGGAGATGGGACTGCATTAGAGGTCAAAGATTATTCCTACGATGAAACAGATTGAGAAATGTTCAGTTAAAATGGTTTCTGTATTATGGAATTCCTCAAAGGGAAAGTATATTGAGATTTTTCAAGGACATAGGTTATGCTATACACACTATCTAAAGTTATTTAACCATAAGATTCTCACATAAACATTACCCACTTCATTAACTTCCAATGTCTGTGACTTCTATGACTATACTACAGAGATTTTCTTCTTCCTATAAACCATTTCTAAATCTACTTTGCTTGTTTCTGCCCTTTCATATAGCCAACTCATCTATTTATGTGACTTTAAAAAATGAGATTTCTGAGCTGAGGGAGGTGGCTAAAACTTATAATCCTAGCTACTCCAGAGGCAGAGATCAGGAGTATTGTGCTTCAAAGCCACTTGGCAAAAGTTGGAGAGAGGTCATCTCAACCAATACCTGGGTGTGACAGCACAAGTCTATTCTTCCAGCTGCATGGGGAAGCACCAATAAGATGGTCCAGGCTGGCCCGTGCATAAAGTGAAACCCTATTTCAAAAATAACCACACAAAAAGGGCTTGGATCATGGTATCTTGCCCTGAGTTCAAATCCACATTAGACAGTTGATGGAGCTTTAAAAATTAGCACAAGGGGCTAGGGAGCTTGGCAGGGGTGCATATGCCTAGCAAGCTCAGTGCCTTGAATTCAAACTCCAGTATGACCAAAACAACAAAAAAAGATCAGCACAATATAACTATCTGAAGAAATTTTAGGATAGTATTTAAAATTGTGCTATTGGCTTCATCCTGTCTCTCTTCCTAGAGCATCTTTCCTAAACTTTCTTCCTCTACTACTTTACTTCCTTTTTTAATATCTCATGTGTCTTCCATGTGCCAGATATTGTGAGACTATAGTCTATATTTTCCGTGTTTTATATATATATAAACTCCACCATAATCGATTCACATGGCAAACATGGCCCTGTCATTGGGATTAACCATTCCTTTCCTGTACTCCCATTTGCTAGGACTTTATTGAAGCATGCATTTTACTTCCTATGACACATCTTACATTACAGATGACTTTTCACCTGTCTTCCCTACTAGACTGTGATCAACCTGAAGATAGCAACTCTGTTACTCATTTAATGTTATTGCATCAACATTGTGTCTAGCACAGAGCTTTTAGATAAAAACGAAAGTATATTAAATTAGCAATTTTAATCAAAGATAGCAAACGTTTCACTACATTTGGGCCATGTGTACAATATAATATTAGTGGGATCTGTAAATAAAAATATTTGGAATAAAGTTGTTAGATCTTGGAAATTTTGCCAGCTGTTTTTTTCATTTATACTTTTTTATGTGAAAATGTTAACCTTTTGGTTATCCTAAATGACACATACCTGCTCCTAGCAGGTTGCAACTAATTTAACCTTAACTTTGCACAAAGGAATTAAAGATGTGTAAATTTCAGATCTGTCAATAATGCCATTAAATTTATAAATGGGCCAAGGTGATTTTCTTAGAGATAGGACTAGACATACAACAGACTCATTATAATCATTATTTTAAGCATAAAATAATAAAAAAAATTCTCTCTCTTAGGCATCTGTCAGATATTTGGAACCGATAACTTTGTGTCACATTAGGAAAAAAAGAATAAGAACTCAACAACGACGTGAATACAATGAAGAAAATATGAAAATAAAGCAATGGTCAATTTCTAGTTATTTTGATCAAGCTGGGTAGTTGTTTCTAAATTTTTTGCCAAATATTTTCCCTGCTTTTTCTCAAAAAGGATTTAAATGTTATTTACACTTAGAGTTTCTTTCAGTAGGGCTGGGAGCAGTGGCTCATGACTACAATCCCAGCTACTAGGGAGGCAGAGATTGGGAGGATCTGGGATCTAAAGCAGAACTGCAAAAAGTCAGGGACACCACATCTCAGCCAATAAAGGTATGTGTAGCTGTAGCCCCAGCTATGCAAAGACATATAAATAAGATGATAGTGGTTTAGGTCATCCCATGCCAAGAATATCAGACCCTATTCAAAAACAGCTAAAGCAAAAAGGATTGAGGATATGTCTTAAGTAGTAAACTGCCCACCTACCAAGTGTGAAGCCCTGAGTTCAAATCCCAGGACCATCAGAAAAGTTTTTAATTAAGAAATAGAAAAGCAAAAACTATAGCCATGATGCATTAAAGTCACCTAGTTCTATGTAGGAAGACATTTGATTCATTACATTTGTCAAGTGGAAAAAGAATGGTTTGATTGACTTAATGATATCAACATATTTGGTCCAGATTTAGAAAGAACATTAACAACTGTGTCAGAACCAAAATGGCTATGCTAAGGCAGGGAGACAGTGTTACCCAGGAAACACATTAACATAGGGTACATTTTTGGAGTTCATAAATAACAAATTTCATCTCTCATTCATTAAAAACTTCAAACTGCTTAACTTTTCTGTGCCTGAGTTTCCCTGCAATAAAAATATCATTAGTATAGCTGCCTCTTCTTCCTCTGAAGAGGCAGTGGAGAAAAGTAACATAATGAGCAAAAAGGACTTTGAATACTGCAAGATAAGTATATAAATTATTAATATTAAATATACATACCTCATAATTCTGAACTCTTTGGAATTTCTCTAGAATTTCCTCAGAAGTTAATGTGTACCAAGAATTACAGCACTGTATTTATTTTACATGTGAGACCACAAGAGTAAAAAACTCACTTGCCAAAGATGGTATAACCAAATGAGTCAGGACTAGAAGCAGTAAAACCAGAACATAGAAACCATTTCCTAAGCATGCTAAACTGCATGATATGTTAATATTAATGTATGAAAATGACACCTAAAATCTATCTTAAGACATATGAGAACAGAAATTAATATGCAAGGACCAAGTGAACACAATACAAAGTCTTTCTGAAAGTTATCAAAACAGGAGTAACCTCCCCCTACTTCATCAGACACACAATCATCTGAACACTTATTTTCAGGCCAGTTATGGCCCAATTTGGCTCATTCCATCCACTCATCCTCTCATTCCATCAATATCGCCTCTTCTTTCCTGTCTTCATTGTTTTAATGAACAAAGGACATAGGCTTGTTTTCACAATGGATGGAGGAGCTGAAACATGTACCAGGCATGAAATGGCAAAGAAATTGGGAATCAACGATCTTCAGAAAGAGACACTATTTCAACTCCAATCACACCTTTCAAAATGAGTTCATCTTTATATCTAACTTAAATGTCATGTGCAAGTTTATGCCTTTTAATCTTATTCTGTTTTCCTAAACACCACACATTATATAAGCAGCACCTCCTATGTATTTCATATTCTTAATATAGCACATATGGATACATAAAATAAAATAAAACTACATATATGAGGGTATCATGAGCAAGTGTGTGGTATATTTATGGCTTACTTATATCTGTCTTCCCCAGATGAATGCATGTAAATGGGAAGTATTTGTAGCATGCAGACTCCAGGTGGCTTTTAGTGATATCTATCTTCTGGTATTTGTACCTTTGTCTAACATTCTTCCTATGGATATAGATTGGCCTAGGAACATGCAAATCAGTCGTATATGGCAGAGGTATTTGGATGAGATTTCTGTGATGAGTCAACATAAAATTGTTATTTCTTCCTTCATTCTCCTCCCCCACACTAGGAGTCAAACTCAGCGCCTCACACTTGCTAGATAGGCTCTCTATCACTTGAGCCATGTCCCCAGCCTGTTGTTTTATTTACTTTTCCTCCCATTTCGTTATTTTTGAGATAGGGTCTTGCTTTATGCCTGGGCTAGCCTGGACTATGATTCTCCTATTTGTGCTTCCCTGAGTGTCTGAGATAACAAACACTCCACCATGCCCAGCCATGTTTGAGATGGGGTCTTGCAACTTTTTGCTGAATTGGCTTCAAATCACAATCCTCTCGAAACTTCACCTCCTGAGTAACTAGGATTATAGGCTTGAGCCACTTTATCCAGCCAAGATTGTGATTTCTGTTATGCTGATTCTCTCTCTTCCTAGGTTTAATGAAGTCAGCTATCATATCAGTGTGAATAATGCCACAAGAAACTGAGGATTACCTCTAGCCAACAGGGGCAGGGAGCTGCTAAGAGTTGAATTTTGCCAGCAGTCATGTATTTGAACTTGGAATGATCTTTCACCAGTTGACCTTTCAAATGATACTGTAGCCCTGATTAATTCCTTCCTTGAAGAATTGTGAGAGATTGTGAAAGTAGAGCATTGAAAGAAGCCATACCCAGTCCTTAACTCACAGTTACTGTGAGATAATAAATGTGTATAGATTTAAGCCCTAAAGTTTTGGGTAATGTATTACCAGCAGTTAAGTAACCACTAAAGTATTAAAGACATATTTTGTTGAAGGAATAAGTGATTCTTCATTACTTGATACATTTTGGGAAGAAAACTTGATTTTTATTTAGGTCATCTAGTTTTTTGTCTTAATCCAATTGCATAGTAGATATAACATCTGACCAAATTGTTTATTCTCAGTGGTGGTCAGTTTTCTACCTGTTAAAAATTTTAATTTATTTGGATAATTGCTAAAATATCTACTATCATTAAGATAGTAGATATTTCATATGTATGTATATGTGTATTATATATAATCTATGTATACTCACATTTATGTATACTATAATCTATTATATATATATATATAATATATATTATATATATATTATATTATATATAATCTATGTATACTCACATTTATGTAACAGAAGAGAACAAAATGGAATAAGCATTTATTTAGCTATAAATTTAATATTGAGGCTAAATTCATCATTTTATAATTCATGCATTTTAATGTCAATAAAGTATTTGGTTATGTTGTCTAAGCAAATACCTAATTTTCCTAGATTTTGTGAATAAACACCATGAATTTTGAAACTACATTCTTTCCCAACATGATTAGTTTTTTGAACATGCTAGAACCAGATTTCAAAGCGTACTAATCATAAAATTATATTTTAAAATATGGAGAAGACATTTAAATTATGGAGTAAGATTAAACTATCAGTTAAAATTCATATTTTCCTATTATTAAACAATTAGATAAATTTAGACTACAAAATTCTGATTTACTAAATCTTCCAAAATGTATAATATTACAGTGATATTTGGTGTATGTACTATCAGGATACTTTGAGTGCTCAAAAACTTAAAATAACGATCATGGTATATGCATTTAGACAAAGCAAATGCAAGATGAAATGCTGATCAAAAACTATGACTAGATATAGTTGTTTCCTGTTGCTATGGTAACAAATCATCACACTTAGCTGCTTAAAATGATACCCATTTCTTGTTTCCTAGTTTCCATGATTCAGAAGTATTGATCGATTTGGCTCAACTAGGTTCTCTGCTTAGGGTTTACAAGACTAACACCACACTGTCAACATAATCATGTTTCTTAGTGGAAACTCTAGGGAAAAATCTTGCTGCCATACTTCTTCAACATAGAATCAGGACTCATTTGTTTCTCCTGTTTTTGATATGGCATCTTGTGATTATCACAGCAGCCAAGAAAGGCAAGAGTACACACTTCAGATCTCTTTCCATTCTGCTGAATCTCTCTGCTTTTAAATACTTTGTAATAATGCATTGAGTCCACCATGGATAAGCCATGGTAATTTCCCTATTTTAGATCAAACTTCACTACCTCTGTAAAATTTTTTTGCCATATAATACGGCCATGAGAATGACCTTTACGAAGGGGTGAAGGATATCGGGACCAAAATTTTGCCAATCATAGCTGATGAAGCTCTTCATTTTCCAAGATGATATATTATTTTATTTAGTTGGCTTTATTATCCCTTACACAATAAATTTTAAATCATTTTATGTAAACAAAACACTGAATACTTACAAACATCCACTTGTCTGTCATCCAAAACATAATCTTTAAAAGTAAAATGAATTTAATTATGGAAATAAAAAAGGAAAAATTTACCTTTTGCCACTGTCTTCGTTTCTGGTTTTTCTTTCTTCTCAATTTTTTCCTTGTGAGTTGCTTAAACAGAAAATTTACATAGGAACATTCTCTCAATAGATTTAAGAACCAAGTTTTCCTCTAGCTTCAGTTTTTTACTCGCAAAAATCATGGAATACTTTGGAGATTTATGAAATTTAATTTAATTCAGGAATATAGTCACCAAGTCACCAGTGTGGTAATGACTATATAGAACTTAATGTAAAACTTGGCTTTAAGACATAAAAAACATTTTGAAAGCTAGATGACCGGCCCATTTTCTTTTTTCAAAAACATTTTTATTAGAATATATTTGTTGTTCAGAGAGGTTTCATATGACATTTCCATATGTGCTTACAAGGTACCTTGGTTAGATTGACCCCCTTCCTCATTCTCCCTCATTCCCTTCCCTCATTCTTAAAAAAATTTTAAGAGGTTTCATTGTTCCATTTTCATAAAAGTATAAAAAGTACATTTGCCATATTTATCTTCCTTCACCCTCTCCAATCACACTCACTCTCCCACTAAAATCTACCCCTGAGCAAGACTTAGTTTACATCCCTGTCCTTCATTTTTTAAGTATATATTGATTGTTCAAAGGGGTTTCACCATGATGTTTCACAGATGAATACATTGTATTTTACCAGATTAGCCCCCTCTATTACTCTTTTTTCTCTATCCTTCCACCCCCTATATTTCAACAGCTTTCAGCACATTTTGTTATGCCATCTCCATACACAGATGCAATATATTTTGTTATTCACTCTCTTTCCTTCTCTTTTCCTCTCCTGCCTCCTTCTCAGTCCCCTCTAAAAAATAATGACTTTAAAAAGTCATTATTCCATACAGACAAAGCTTTCAGGGAAGAAAAAACCAAGAAGGAGCAATTTTATAAGAATTTTTGAAAAGTATATCTTTATATCAGAAAGAAAAATTCCCTTTAGGATTAATGATAAGAAATACTTAAATCAGGATGGAAGACTTGATTAACACACACACTGTTTCTCAACAGGGGCACAATTGACATTTGGCGACAAACAATTCCTCACTGTAAGAGACTGCTGATGCATTGAAAAATTACTTAACCTCTCTGGTACCTGCTTACCAAATGCTCCACTCCAACATCATTAATTTGACCATCAAAAAACTCCAAATATTCCCTACATGGTAGCATCTTTAGTTGAGGATAAACTAACAATATTTTCTTAATTCATATTCCATGTGATTATTAAAACATCATAATTTCTCATTATTTATTAAGTTAATGAATCAACATGAATTATTAACTTGCCTTTTATTTGCATATGCTGACAAATTCTTGTGTCTTAACAGTTAAAGTGATCTGAGAAGTACAGTAGCATGTGTAGCACATTCTTGTATTTCAAATATATTAAACTGTGTGGTTTGATAGTTTTCCTAATTACCACACATTTTTTTCGATATTTACATAGTATTTAATGGAGAATAACAATGGGAATTAAGTAAATTATGGAAAAATAACTGAAAAAAGATAAGATCTAATTAGAAATTGATTTAAGGGAGGATCCATATTACAGCCCCTATACATTTGCATTTGTCCAACTACATAAGAATAGTAATGTATATCAGCTTTACTTATACAAGGACTGAAACGTGAGAATTTCACCCTCACCAATAGATTAATGCCATTCTTACAAGGGTGAGTTAGTTTCTGCAGGAGCAAGTTCATTCTACTCAGAGTGAGATTTTATAAAAGCAAGTTTGTTAGATCAAGAAGAATTAACCTAGAAGGTAACACACGTGCATAGGAAATTAATGTGAGTCAACTCCCTGTATAGCTATCCTTATGTCAACTAGCAAAAACCCTTGTTCCTTCCTATTATTGCTTATACTCTCTCTTCAACAAAATTAGAGATAATGGCAAAATAGTTTCTGCCAGGTATCGAGGGGTTTGAGGGGGGAGAGAGGGGGTAGGGTGGGTGGTAAGGGAGGGAGTGGGGGCAGGGGGGGGAAATGACCCAAGCATTGTATGCACATATGAATAATACAAAAATAAATAAGTGAAAAAAACCAAAACAAATAAAGAAAAAGCAAGTTTGGTTTCTTTGTTTCTCTCTTGCCTTCTGTCAGTTATAAGGCAGCAAGAAGGCTCTCACTGGAATTATAAACAGATGCTGCTACAATGTTCTTGGACTTCCCACCCTCCAGAAACTTGAGCCAAAATTTACATCTTCTCTTTATAAATTATCCATTTTGTGGTATTTTATGATAGAATCTGCAAGTGAACTAAGATGCAGTCTATGAATAGTTTTCCAAGAATCTAAGAGAGGCAATTCAACCTCATAGAAAGGTTAAAGTGTAATGTCCAGCTGAAAACCATGTGACCCTTACAGTTGCAGAGCTGCTGAGAGGCAGGTGCCTCCTTCTCCAAGAATTCAAGTATCTGAATTCAGGTGTCTGTCCCACAGACACCTCCACTATCACTGGGGTGATGGGTAAGAATTGGCTCAGTGTTAGCAAAGAAGCACTGTGCTAAGATAAGCAAAGCAGAATTCACACAAAGTTGGGGGACTATAATATCTCATAATACACAAGCATTCTTTAATTGGCATACAGGAAATAAAAGAACTTTTACAAAACAGTATTTAATTCTGGTTTTGAATTTGGATATAATTTTAAGGGTAAAAAATTCTTAATTATTTTAACAAAAACAGTTGCAGTGATGTTTGAAAAATTTCATAAGAAATATGACATTATTTAATTGAGTCAGAGTACAGAGAACCTGATATTCCTAATTCTGTATAACTCACTAGCAGATGAGAAATGGACATCTATTTCTAAAACAGAAAAACAAGGTTGCTGTACTGAAATTCATGGAAATTATCACTGGGTAATTACATTTCATGTAAAATTAAGGTAAAAAATAATAACTATTATTAATAATGTGTTACCAAAATATAGTATATATTACATCATTATAATTATATATCCTAAATTATATTAAAATTAATTACTATTGAAGTTTTGCAAGGTTCTGCAAGGTGCACATAAAGTTCACACAAGTAGGAACTGGAGGCAAGGTAAGAGGAAGGTTTTTATAATATATCTTCATGAGTTGAACAATGAGATTATATTGCCTATTTATTCTCTATAAATAAACAAAGCTAGTAGATTAAAAAAATCCAGTCTGATAGGTAATCAAAACATTTGAGTTAAAACAATGATGTCTGCTTTCTTATTTATAAAATCAGCAAGTTTTTTTTTGAAAGAGCCTCACAGGTAGCTAAGGCAATCTCAAAACTGCCAGGGGAAAAACTGACATGACATTCTTGGAAAGCAAAGTGGTAACAGAGTTTGACAGCCTTTGGTGCATTATCCATTCACTCCAAAATTCCTCCTTTCAGAGTCTATTATCAGAAAATAATCTTTCTATAATTTTAAAAAGAAGAAACCCATGGTCATCTAAAATCAGAATATCAGGAAAGCAAAGAAAAAAGGAAAACTTTTGATGTTAAAAATAACACAAAGAATTACAACATACCTTTCTTTTCAGGTTTCTCTTTTATTTTTTCTCTGTCCTTTTCCTTTTCTTTGTGTGTAACTGAGAGAAACAGATAATACTTTCAGTTAAGTAAAAGGAATAAATGATAAGATAATTGCATGGCACTTTGTGATGTAAAAAATTTATCTGCTACTTTTGGAAATCTTCCTTTAACTGGCATAGTCGTTTATGTACTTAGAGGCTTAAATTCCGATATAATTATAGATTTGCTATTATATTTCTATTTTTACCTCACATCCAAGCACAAACTAGGTCTGACTCCAAAGATAAGAATATTCTTCATTTTTTTCTAAATCTTTAATTTAATGAATTTGAAAAAAAATTTAAAGCATTATGTCATATGCCAAAGGAACTCAGCTTTGATTGAATGGACGCAAGGAACATGTGGACAAAAATACAGATACATAATCTTCTGAAACTGAAGCAAAAAATCATCAACCTAAATTGTGTATTAATCTTCTACAGAAATATTCTTCATTAAAAGTTTTTTAAAATACTGAAATGAGACTAGGATCTTTTCAAAGAACATAAAATTTAATCTAATGAGCTATGGTTCAATTTGATTATTATAACAGGATTCAAGTTTAAGCTATAATCTTATCCCATACATTAGCCATAATTTTTAATAATTATCCAAACTAGAAACATGAGATTCAACCCAGATTTTTCTATTTTCAACTTCTTTTCATTCACCAAGCTTTTTCAGTCTTATCTTTTTAATACTCTTCTTACACATATTTTTAAATTTGATATTATACTCCCTACATTGCATTTATTTACACAAAAATATAGAAAGAGTAACTGCCACATGTTAAAGACTCTTCTAGGCAAGAAAAATACCATTCTTATCATTGAGATGTTAACAAAAGAATGGGTGATGTATGATAAAGAAATAATCACTAAGGCAATTAATTGTAGTTAAGATAATTGCTATTAAGAATATAGGCAGAATGACATATCAGTATATAAATAGGACCTAATCTCATCTAAGTTTGGAGAAGGGCTCTCAGTAAGAGTGACACTGAAGTATGTGAAAATGAGAAGATATTAGCCTAGTCAGACAGTAGAAAGATGAAGAGGAAAGAGACCATTTGAGAACCTTGGATGTTTATCTTAGGTCTACTATTACTGTGCACTTTATTATAACAATTTCATTACTGGTGTTTTGAATCTACAGATTTACATTTATCTGTCTCACAGTAACCTTTGTAATGAAAGTTTGATTATATCATTCATCTGCAACAAATATTAGTATCCCAGTATTTGCTTAGTATAGTATCTCTCACAGAGTAGGTACAATATCAAATATAAAAATATTTTATTGCTCGAGTGATCTGACATTTGCTTACAATCCAATCTCATCTAGCAGGAATTTCTCCTTGAACTTTACATTCCAGTTATAACAGAATGCTAGGAGCTCCACAAGGACACCATGTGCCCTTGTGACACCTTTGCATCCCTACTTGTTTGTGTCTTCTACCCTGAATTCCCATTCTCACGTCATCACTTTCCTTCTCCTGTTCCACGTACCCTTTCAGTCTTGATTCAAATGCTTCCTTTATGAATTTTTCTTTGATCTATATTTATTCCACAAAAAAACTGCATCCTGTAGTTAATTCCATTTTAGCAATTAAGTACCAATACTGCAATTGCTCACATGTATAACTACCCAGCAGATCACATATTTAGGGGCTATGCCATATTATTTTTTTTAACACTGGTTCATAGCATGATTTCTGTCATGTAGTGGATTCAATAATATTTTTGAATATGTAAAATTCCAAAATGTTATAATAAGAGCTAGATTCATTTTCTAATGAGATTCTGTTTATATGTATATACATGTATATATGTATATGTATACATATATACATATATATATAATAGGCATTGCTTGCTTCCAAATATTTGAAATTTTTTAATTCATTAAAATTTCTTAAATAAAACCTAGAGAGAAACAGGAAGGAGAAACAACCCACTTTAGAATATCTAGATGTTATTTTTTTCTTTCCATATGTAATAGTTGTTTCAGGTATTTCTGAAGCTACTATGTTCAATATAAACATCTTACAAAAAATCAGCACTTATACAGACCTCAAATAGCTTATTTTGGTTCCTTTTGGTCACTATTAATGAAGCTAAAAGCCAAAAGAAATTATTGGCAAAAACAAAGCCTCTTTTAAAGTCTCTCTAGGGAGAACCAAGTTTGTGTGAGATAAGCTGTACTTTCAGAGCTCTGATTGGAAAACCCCCCAGGGGAACACCTAATCTGTGGCTCTGCCTGTGTAAAGGATGGGTTATCCCACCCCACACAGCTGCTTGTCCATTTCACTAAAGGATTTTCAGATTAATGTGTGAGCAGGCATAAATGGGAGAATTAATAAAAAATCATAAGAGCAAAGGGGCTGAATTCAGATTCAAATTAGCATATTAACACCTCATTCCTATTACCCAGAGGTGGGGAAAAACTAGTCAAAGTTTTTGATTTACAGGCACAGTACTCTATGCTGGAATTTCATTATCCCGCTACAGAATAACACCATAATATAGCTTAGTGAAGCAGCTGGACCCATAGGCTCTAGGGAGCTGTTCAAAATGGCAGTCACTAAATCTGCTTGGACAGAACTTTAAACTTTGGCAAGACTGCTCAAATATCAAGTTTTTAAATGACTTTCACCATAACAATGCAGCAGTCAGTAACTGCTTTAATAATTACTCTAAAATAAAACATAAGTTGACACACAAACTACATTTTCTGGTGATTTTTTTGCTTAAAACCCTTAGCCAGGTGTTTTCACATGCAAGAAGAAAATACCTCCTTGTTTGGCAAGTTCATTTGGCAAGTTATATCTTAGCCAAGACAGTTTTAGCTCAGGACAAAATAAGCTTTTTGCACCTGCTAGAGCTTAATTTGTTTGTCATCCTTATTTACAAGAAACAAAAGTCTTTTGGTATGCTGACAATTAAAAGCAAACGGAATCTGCCATTTGGAAAGGCCCTGGTGCTTGGCATTTGAGTTGGCATGGTCTTGCTGTTCCTGCACTTGTCCAGACACTGACCTTTCCCTGACCAGAACATTCAGCTCAGCTCAGCTCTGAAGCCTGTCGCTCACACTGCCCCTGTGGCTCCTCTCCAACCCTCCCCAAGCTATGCTCTATACTTCTGTTCTTGATCCCAACAGCCACCATCAGATAGTATCTGTGACTCCAATGTTGTTACTTGTGAAAACACTCTCTTAGAGACCAAACAGAAGGGGACAGGTTATCATTTGCCTCTGCTTTTAGTTCAAAAATCAAAAGGTTTGATGTACAAAGTGTTAAAGTACTGACTGGTATAGTCTACTATTGATAGATAATGGATAAATTTAATCAGGTTTCTGAAGGTCATACTTGACTTATTGCTACTGCATAAGACTAACTTGAATATCAAAACTGAAAGAAATTAGATAGTTGTTACTCCTTTTCATTAGAAAACATAACTATATGAATTTTCTTTTACTTTATTTTTCAGATTTGTGGTGCTTTTGTTTGTGGCAGATAAGTAGTCAATAAATTTTGAATAAATGAACACTTCATGTTCATAAAATTCAAGTGTATTCATGTTTGAATTCCTCATTTTTTTATTGACCAAACAGGAGACACACCATTTAAAAACCTTTAAAAAAATAAATGCTCTTTCAGCTACTACTAGACAAACATGCCAGATATACTCTTAGTATATGTGTGTGTTTCATTTTTATAACTAACTCAGAGAATTTTAATTTTTTAGTCAGGCAAAATAATCTACACACTTTTTAAAAGGTAGTGATGAACACAATAGAAAAGGATTCTTGAATAGAGAAACTTCAAAATGATTATTTTACCCAGTCTGTCTAAAGAAAGAATTTTATCTTTCAATTTTAACAAATGCACACATTTTTAGAACAGGTAGAAATGTAAGATATCAACTAGCCTGAACTTCTTTGTTATGACTAAGAAAACAAGCTTGCAAGAGTCCAGGGCAAATCAGGAAAAGAATATAATTATATGATTGTTTTCCTCTGAAATTATGTTGCCTTGCTCATCCTAGGTCTTGCGTAGTCTATAAACTTGTTCTTATAAGAACAAAGTGTGCTGATTGGATTCTACAAGTATGTTACTATAATCTGCCTTCCAATAGTATGCACACTTATTTTCATAATCAAACTATTTTTATTTATTTATTATTGGTGGTACTGGGGTTTGAACTCAGGGCCTCATGCTTGGTAGGCAGGTGCTCTACCACTGTGCTAGCCCTGTTTCATGTTGGATATTTTCAAAATATGGTCTTTTGAACTGTTTGCTGAAGCTGGCTTCCAACTGCAGTCCTCCTGATCTCTGCCTTCTAAGTAGTTATGATTACAGGTGTGGCCACTGGTGCCCTGCCAAATTGCTTTCACTTTTGTGTACATGGAAAAATTGGCAAATCACCCAAATTTAAAAATCTCATCTGATATATATGCTTTAACTCCATAGATGCTAGATGATGGCTAGATAGACAGACAGACAGATAGATAAATGCATAGACAGATAGATGTACCAATTCTAAAATATGAGTTGTATTTTCAAATTGCAAGGACAATTCCTCTTCACCAGGGGCTTCCTAGAGACAGCGCGCATTGCGATCATTTTCGAGTGAATGATCGCTGTGAAGGTGATGATGATACTTAGCTTTGCCTAGAAAAGTTTACCTTTCATTGCTGCCAGAAAGGGAAAAATGTAAAGTGTAAATCCTTTAAAGGGTGAATCAACTAGAGCTGAGAGAAGACAAGAATAAAAATTTAAAAAATACAGGATGACTAAATTAATTTTTGAACTTGATGAGCATTTTTATTAAGGACTTCAGGATAGTATTTGGATACATTTTTATGACCAGTTCTCTTCAGCTTTTGAGAATCACTATGAGCTAAATCCCTTGTCAACTTGTGATTCCAATTCTATAATTGCTTCCAGAAATTTAAGGAGTCCTAAGTTAGTCAGTCATTGTCATTGTTCTAAATCACTCTTTTATAAACCATCACT